GATCAGCTACTCTCTAATTCTATTCACTTGCATTGTTCATGACAGTGTTCAGTTAGAACTTGCTTTATATACATGAGGTAGCAATAGACACACAACTATGCAACTTATCAAATCAATTTAATGTGTGACCTTTAAGAATTTATTTCTCTTTTCTATAAACTTGTTACTATTATTCAACTCAATACACTATTGACCTACACAAATACAGGATGCATAAAAATGACTACGCGCAAGCAACAATCTATGATTTTTTGTATTTGGAAACAATAAATCAGTATATGGGATTTACAAAACAAATTAACTGAACAGCAGTCTTTTTGAAATGCGGTATCTTTTTACAAAACTGATTTGGAGAGAGGCAACTATAAAGATGCAATGGCATAAGGGGCCATGATTGAATAATCAACTCACTTGTGATGTTGGCAGTGGTGTTACATCTGAATAGCCACTTTTCATCCAGATTTTTAAAAACAAAGCCAAACTGGGTTGAAAACAGTGGTTGATCTATTTCAGTGGTGGCTATTTTAACTTGTGATGAGCACTTTCACTAGTAATCTGGGAGTCTGGTTATGTGATTCAATCACATAATTTTCATGAATGTTTTATTTTCCATTTGGTACGGAAATAAAAGGCTGATATTTGTCACCTTTAACATAGAAACGAACATATCCATCAGCCCAGCACATGTTCCCAAAGCATCCACCCACCTATAATCTTCAAATCTATACTAAATTCATAGGAATGGGAAAGGAGGCTCAGAATGAGCAAATCTTAAAAACAAAAAACAACAATAACGAAAACAGAAACTTGTCTACAAGAGTAAACTGTTCTAGAATCCAAATCCATTGGGGGCAAAATGTCAAATTTTAGCAAAAACTAAAGGCCAATTTATGTTTTCTTTAATATTCTCATAATTCAACTCAGGAGCACAGAGACCTAAAACAGTAATCTTCACCATGTTACTTAGAGGCAAAAACTTACAATTAGTAGTCTACCATTCCCTCATCTTACCCCTTGGGCAACCTTGTATCACACAGAAGAAATGCATAAGGAAAATTTCGTAGGCTGTAACATCACTACTTCTTAGTGACTGATTATGTCTAAAACCTCAATTTGCAAATTCCATCCTCTAACATTAGAGACTTGCAAATTTACAGAGTTTGTGCTAAAAAATGCAAAACAAGAAAACCAAAGTTAAAAAAGTCCCTTCTGAAAGCCATATCACTTAGATAAAAGTTCACAAACATTCTCTTCCCAATCATTGCAATGATCTTCTGAAAGTTTACTTTCTTTTATCAACAACCACTAAACCTCAAAAGTTAAATGTTGATGAAACCAAACTTAAAATAATCTCCATAGAAAAAAAAACTGAAACTTAAAGCAGAAAAGCAGTCAAAAACACTTATTGAGCATATGCTAAAAACATACCCTGACAACTGTCAACAGAGATGTCATAGTCTTTGACCTCAAGAAAGTTTTGTTGAATCTGGACCATACCAAAACATAGATTAGATCACTTGAGGGTATCAATTTTTGAGTTATAAAGCCTCAGAATATCAAAATTCTTAATGATTCAAAGATAGGAAGGCATTATGGACTAATGTGGACAAGTCATGAAAACTGAGATTTAACTGCCACTCTACTGGAAGGACCTAACTATAGTGAAAATAAGAAATTGGTTGAGAAAGGAAAAAAAAATAAAGCAGAACATGCTGCACATCTGTAATTCCAAGCTCAGTCTGGGAGACTGAACTTGGAGCATTGCAAGTTCAAGCTCCTGGGTAATTTAGTATTTTATTCAGACTCTGCCTCAAAAGAAAAACAAAACAAAACAGGAAAACGTAGAGCAGTGTGAGTGGCTGTACCAGGAAGCAGCAAGCGTGGGCTGAGACTGATCTCACTGAGAATGATATCATGCTGAATCCCTCTCTCCCTGCCTCCGCCATTTTTGTGTCCAAGAAAGGTGGGCCTGGAACCCGTGGTCTCCCATCACTTCCGGGACCAAATGGCTTCACTAGCACACTAAGCTGAAGTTCAATTTAAACACGAATAGTCTGCACATCATCTGGTTAATGTGAGATGGGCTTTATTATTTATTTTGATGCCACCTAAAATATTTCTCTTACAACCAGTGAAAATTTAGAGGATACTGACAGCCAAAGATAATTCTGGTCACTGTCAAAAATCTAGATTTTCTCCAGTTTCTGGTACTTGTGTTCAAGTTTTAAAATCTAAAAAGTTAACCTGGAGCTATTCCTTAATAAGTTACAAGTTCTCAGTGCAAAGGACAGGAGATTAGCATCTCTTTTCACTCTGCAAAGAAAGTCAAGAGCAAGTCAACTCAGACTTTTGCGTTTTTCTTTCTCTACCCAGAATGCATTAAGTCTTGGAAAGATGATCCATTTGGTGGCAATCGTACAATTATCGGTTGGTGATTGTACGAAATCTTTTGGGTGACCTCTGACTAACAAAATCTTGTCTGAAGATGAATACAGGCAGGCAAAAGTCAGAGCAGAAATGCACATGTGCTAATAAATTGAAGTCTTGAAAATCCCTCTTTTGAATCCAGTAGTATGTCCCATATTGAAGTTGATGGGAGCTAACAAAAGGATGCAGAGCACTTTATAAAATCTGTGTCACAATCATCTTTCTCTTGACAGTTGAAATAAATTAAATCTGTCCACATCTTTTACCTGTCTTACTGCTTCAATCTTTACATGGATTTTTTGATCAAGCAGCCTACGGCTAAATAATCAAACTGCACCAGAGAAAACAAAAATTATCCATCATATTTTCTGTTTAATTCTTTAGACTCAATCTTTATTTTATAATAGCTGAAAGACTTAAATCAAAGTATGCAATCAATGGTTGTCATCTTTTTTCAATTATAATTGTTTACTAATGGATGGTTTCAACTGTTATTCTTTCAATCTGTCAATTGAATGTCAAAATGTTATTTTGCATTTGTTCAAGCGCGGACTATCAAAATACCTACCATTGTATTGTACCTTCCTTTCATTAGCAAATTTTGATGTTGTTTATATTTTATGTATGAAAAATAGTTGTGTGAAGACATTTAGTCATATTTGAATAAAAGAAAGATCTATCTGTAATTAGTAAAAGTTAAATAACTATATCTAAAAATCTATGACCTTCAGTTCCTCTATGACTTAAGATATTTGTAATTACTTAATTTGATCTCAAATCATGGAGGAGAATAGAACCCCCATTTTAAATATAGTGTGATTCTATTCCTGCAGGAATAGACAGAAAATATTTCTTCCTTCAAAACTCCTGCAATATAGAAGTGCTTTTCTTTTAACGTAGTCAGAAAAAAGAAGGTAAAATTTTGTAGAAACCAAGGCAAAAAAAAATATTCCATTCAGAAAAATATCATAAATAATTATTTCCAAACATATGTGGAATAAGGCCTTGTTTATTATGTGCTGATAAAGTAATTACAAATATCTTAAGTTTGACACCAAGTCGTAAATGCAACATACATCTCACCACAGCGCCTGCTCTCATGAGGAGGAACGGTGAGGCTCGATGGCCTCCTGTGGTCCCAAAGAGGCTGCGGATGAAACTGCTTCCCCTAGAAATTTCTCTTTTTGCTACACACAGCAAAATTCTTTATTTTCAATGCTGGAAGAAATATCAGTCAGTAGTATAAACAGAGGTTAGAAAGAGGCAGCCAAAGCCTAAGAAGACTTGGTTCTATACCAAAACTGGGGGGGGGGGGACCCACCTTTAACTCCAACCACTGAGGGATTGAAACAGGAAAATCTCATGGTTGAAGGCCAATCTGGATTAGATAATGACACCCTGCCAAAAAAAAAAAGTCTAACTGGAAGCCAAGGAAAGGAACTGAGTAAAAGTGCTTGGAAGAAAAAAGAGGAAAGGAATGAAGGAAGGAGGGAGAGAAGGGCAGAGAGAGAAAAGTGAAAAATTGTATTACTGATAAAAAGTACATTAGTCTGTGGGACATGTTTCTCAGCAATGAGAAAGCTTACCCACGGCAGAGCTAAATTTCTCGAGACTGACCTCCTCTCACTAAAGGGTAATGCAGGCCTCCACCAAGACATTATGTGGGCCAATGTATGTTTGTACTTTCATAAATGAAAAAAAAAATCTCTCTTTCTCTCTCTCCAGGTATTGAGCAGCCTAGTGCTTACAAAATTCAGGACTTCGCTATGACAAACGGGTCAAACTGCAAATACAAAGTGAATGCAGCTCTCTGACAGGTTCTGCCTAGATAGAGGCCCCGAGAGTCGGTTTTGTTAGCATCAAGGCAAGTGATTCTCTGCCCCCTCTGAAAACAGCTGCAGCCACTGTCTGATCCGGCAAAGTGGCAACCACACCATCATACAGCTGCAGGAGTCCAGTCAACTGCAGCCTGGCATGTGCTCGAGCACACCACAGCCTTGTTATTGCTAGGTAGGGATCATGGGACTTGTCAGGCCCATCAACAGTGATAACATAACTGAGTGGGAGGTGCACAGCTGAAATATCCAGGCTAATAATGCCATGTGCTTGTATTTATTTTTTTAAATGTCAGGAATGTGATAGATAAGAAAATAGAAAATATTCTCTACTGGATGGAACATTAAATTCTAAAATTTAATGATGGCTAATATCCGATGTCAAGTTATTAAAAATACTGTGAAATAATACTATTTCATTAAATGAATATGTTTACCATAAATAAAAATAACAGAGACTAATTGATAGGGGCTAGTCTTGTTATTGTTACTGCTGTTGTTGTCATTAGATTGAGTTGGTTTGGTTGGGCTGGCTTGGGTTTGCTTTGGCTTTGATGTTACTGGGAATCAAACCTGGGCATTCCACTACTGAACTGTATCACCAGCGCTATTTCATTTTTTGTTTTCTTTTGAGACAGGGTCTTGCTAAATTGCTTAATCCTCTTGCTTCAGCCTCCCAGAAAGCCAGGATTATGTGCATAAGCTACTGTGCTCGGAAAACATCCCAGGCTCACTCACCATCAGTGATGGTCAGTCTCCTCAGGAAAGTTTCATTTTGCCCAGTGCTAAACGTAACGTTGCAGCGGTAAAACCCGGAATCAGAGGCAGTCGCATTGGGAATGATGATGAAGGTGCTTCTGAGGCCCTGCGTGCAGTTGGTCACTATTTGTTTTCTGTACCTGGACCAACTTGTGCCTCTGGACAGATTGCAGCGCATCAAGAGGTCTATCTGGTGTGGCTGGATCCTTTCCCAAGTGACTTGTTGGACTGTCCCGTTCATCTGAAACACATAGGTGAGTGTGACATGTCCAGGGCTTGAGACCACGTTGCTATAATCCCGTAATTGTGTCTCAAAACTATCTGAAAAGAAGAATCAAATTATTAGACTTATGGGGCCAAATGTCTAAACAAGGGTAGAAGCTACTCAGAAAGTTCTAGCAAAATGCTTGGTGATATTGATTAATGGAGTTTCATCAATTCTAAATAATATCACATTTCTGTAAAAGCAAGGAATTTTTGAAAAACTGGCAGATTAATAGTAAAAAGAATATGCTGTTTATACACAGCCTTTAAGTGTTACTTGGTTAATCAGATAATAGGAAACATAACCACAACCCGGGTGATTTTCTTGGTAACAATGATGTTGAGTTTGAATTTCACAGGAGAGCTCTGTAGCAAACCTGGGATGGTAATAAAAAAGATACTAAATCATTTCCACTGAATTTATGCATAAGTTCATCTTCACATGTGTGTTGCTGTGTTATGCGTTGGTAGATAACCACATTTGATATGAATTTCTAGTAAGAAGGGGCCCTCATATTCTCCCATGGTCCACTACCACTTCTGGAGTTTCCAGCATACTCAGTATCTGTCACCAAATGTCTAAACCAGTAGCACTTATAGTGTTTCTGGGGGCCCCAAATGATCCCTGTATCCCTTTTGAGAACCTGGAAACTCAATTCTATTTTAAAAAGAAAATTAGTATGTGATTTACTGTCCTCATTCCTAAACACTCACAAGTGTAGCAAAGATGCTTCAAGAGGCCCCACAGTTTCTCAGATATCAGCAAAAATTTCTTTTGCTTCTCCCTAAAGGTTTGTTGAGCAGGAACGTGCACAAATCTGCCTCATTCTCCTTCCTTACATGGTTAAGGTTAGTTCAGACACCCACCTCTGCATCACAGAATGAGATTGGAAACCCCCACATCCTACCTGGACTTCCCCATGAACTTGAACGTGCCCATGAATGCTCCTATGCTTACATCAACTATAATGCTCATTTGTTAAAAGAATCCCTGTGCTTTACATTGTAATTGACATTAAACATATACAGTAAATATAACAGACATTAATCCACAGAAGCAAATACTCTTAGAGATCTCAATAATGTTGAGAAATATTAAAAAGGTCTTGAGACTAAAGAGTTTTGGGGCCTAATATAAATAATAAATTTTGAGGATTTATTTTCCAAAATTAAAATAGCCCAGAGCAAGTGGACCTGCTCATCAGTGACCACGACTCTTCTTCATCCCATAGCTTTGCTGGGAAATAATGATGTTGCAGAGCTTCTGGGCACAGGAAAATGCAGAATATAAAACAGCATGTATTATTAATTTACATAAAAATTTGCAACAAGATTGACGGGGAGCTACTGTCTGAACTTACAATAACAATAATGAGAATAATAATAATAACAATAATAATAATAAAGGATGGAGAAAAAGGGAAAGCAGCACATTGGCAATGGAGTGAAAGTCAGTGTGCAGCATAGTAATATTTGCTTTCTACATTAAATTACAACCCTATACATGACATAGTTTCACCTTACCAAAAGCTGCTTCAGTTCTGGTTGTCAAAATGTTTTGTGCAGACAAGCTACAGACACCTCTCTTTCTCAGTCCATTACCACACAGCTCCATACCAGCGCGAGCACTGTCATCCACGTAACACACACACACAGAAAACATTTCATCTCTCAGGTACGAGCCAAATGAAAGGGAAGGAAAAGAAGAAAATTCCTCAGAAATGGGGAAAGTAACAAGAAAAACAAGGCTTAAGGAATGGCAAGGCAAGATAACAACTAAAATGGGGGGAAAATGTGAGAAAAGAGAGAAATTGGGTGCAAACATAAGGGCTAAATCAGATGCTGGCAGACTGTTGGAAAAACGGAATAATGTAAAAGCATTTAGGGGACCATCTGGACCTTCCGAAAAGGCAGGCAAGCCAGCGGTACAACTCTGAGGTCTGACTTTAGGCTCTCACTATGACAGCCTTTCCCTCCTCCTTCCTCAGAAGGCCGCTTCCCTCCACTCACAGGAGCTTGCTTGGCCTTTGTCACCCAAACCCACTCCCAGGAGAGAAGCTCAGGGATGAGCAGGGGAAGGAGAACGAAGGAAAAATGAGATATTTGCAGACCTAGTCATTGGTCAGACTGTAAGTGCAATCATGATACTGTTCTTTCTACACACATACACATATATGCAAATATACACACATTATTTATATGTGTATTTGAAACGTCTAAAAGTTTATAAATATTTGTTGTGCAATAAACTTTGATAAGCCACAGAACCAAGTGAAATGAGAACAACTGTTTTCTGAAAGGCGCACCACACACTCAGTCTCTCATCCTCCTACCCAGATGACACCGCTTAATGGATGAGGAAAACGAAAACAAAAATCTAAATAGCTTTCTTCAGGGGCTGTGCTGAAAAATGGCAGAACCACAGTGGAGTGCGACTCTGCCACACAGAAGGACAAACCTGAGTCATTTGTAGGAGACTAGATGCACCATGAGACTATGATGTTAAGAGAAGTAAATCAGGCGCACAAGCTTAAGTATCTCATGGATCTTCTTATACAAGAAAGTCAGAGTAAAAATAAAAGATAGGTAAAGGAAGAAGGGAGACAGGTCTTTCGCAGAGTGGAAAGGGATCAAGAGGTGGAGAAAGAGAGAGAAAGGAGAGGGGGAAAGGGTGAAAAAGGAATTGGGATGCGATCTGTACATGGCCCACCTCCACAGGAGGACTGCAGACATGCACTACACAAAAGCCAAAGAGGAAGGGAGTCAAGGGATGGGTGGGTGGGGTAGCGAGGAAGGAAAGGAAGGTAAAAAAAAGAATTCAAATGTGTTACATAAATCTACCAACTTCTCACAAAGAATGGAAATGTTTTCTACTACACGTGTATTAGTAAAATAAAAAATAAATGAAAGCAATGTTTTTCATGATATGTCCATGTATCACCTACCCATAATGAATATATTCATTGTGTATTACAAAATAAAAAATGATATTCTCACACCAAAAATAAAAGATGAAATTTGGATTTGTGACTTCTCAAAAAAAGAAAAATAGCAGAACCTGAACTCACACTAACTCACTTTACTTTAAAGACTTAGAGGCCATGCATATTTATTTATTAGTTTGCTTCGTTCCTGGGGATTGAACTCAAAGCCCTTGTGCTGACAGTCACCCCAGTGACCCCTTTCTTGGAATAAGTTGTCACTAAGTGGCTAAGTAGCCCAAGAGCCCCTGCATTTTTTAAGCTAGAATGCCACCATCTCTGTATCTCTCCTCTCTCCAGCCCTGGCTTTTCCCTCACTTCTAAATGAATCATCACTGTTAAGAGTCAACTGTGATGCCACCCAACCCTCTTGCTTTCTTCAAAATTTTGGAAGGAGTGGCTCTCCCCTGACTCCTGTCTTTGTGTCTCACAAGTGCATCATACAAACAAGCAGTCACTTCTGCCATTCCCCAAACAGGGGCTGGGGATTTAGCTCAGTGGCATTAAGTGCCTGCTTTGCAAGCGCATGGTCGTGAGTTCAATCCCGGGTACCAATTAAAAAAAAAAAATTGGTTTACAACAAGTGTTGCCTGCAGACAAGGCCCCTTCGACACAAGGCCTCCCCGGAAATGCTCCTCCCTATGCTTCTGTGCCCTGCACTCTTCAGCTCCCCTCTATTCTCTACTCCCTCTCTCCCTTCCCTCCTTAAGCCTGGCACTCTTTCTAACTGGCTCTTTCAAATAGAGTTGGGCTGTCTTTGGGTGACTCTGTTTACTCTTATTTATAAACACTTCTCCTAGCAAGTGAAGTGCAAATCACTAGTTCTGCTCCATCACACTTCTCCTCCTGGTTTCTAATACATGAGACAAAAACCGTGTTCTTATGATGTTTCAAATGAACTAAAAACTAAACATAAGAATTTCCCTAATTCACCTTCAGGACCATTGTTACCATACCTGCTATTAAGAACTGCTAATGCTAGTAGCTTCATATATTCCCAAAAGTGCCCAGACACTGGCAATGCTCCGCAGAGAAATTTTCAAAAACTCCTGATAGGAGTCCAGGCAAGTACATAATAAAATGTTGACTGCATGATGACTAAGGAAATATCCTAACATAACTTGAAATACACTCCCAAATATAAATAGGCATAAGAAACTAATTCTGAATTACAGGAAGGCACCAAAGTACAGGAAGTACTGAAGGAACATTTTTCATCTTTGCTCAGTATTGAGGATCTGCTGCAGGGTCTTGCATGTGTTAGACAAGAGCTCTACCAGTCCCCAAGGAGCGCTTTCGAAGTTGTATGAGAAGATGGACTGAGGGGCATAAGAAGGAACACATGACAGACTAAATTTCTCCAAATGAGTCCTTCCTCATAGTTCTGCCTGTGACAGACAAAGAGGGAAGGTGTCAACTGTGGTGGACCCTGAACTGAGGTATCAAGAACCATCCAGAAGTTCAGACATAGAAGCTGGAAACCTAGAACAGGTCCATGCTCATAGAGCTGTACACACCAACCCAACCCCTGCAGGCCAAGGGGTTTCCAACATCACCAAGGTAGAAGGCAACAAAAGCAAGGACAACACTGCTCCCAAAAAGGACTGTATTCCATGATGATCAAATCTACAAGTGTTGAGTTGAAGCTGTTCCCAGAATTCACATGCAAAGTTCTACGCCCAGAACCTCAAGATGTGGTTAAATTAGAAGTCAGGCTCTTATAAAGGCACAGCTGAGACAGCATCATACTACAATAAGGGGGATCTATTCCACTGTGACTGGTGTGCTTACAAAATGGGAAGTTTGGGTGGAGATAAGCATTCAGGGAGATCACCGTACGAAGATGAAGGCACACACCTGTGACCCCAGGTACTGGGCCATTCTGGGCAATTTAGCAATCCTTATCTCAAAATAAAATCTAAACAGGAGCTAGGGATGTAGGCCAGTGGAAGGACACTCACCTCACATGCACTTAGCCCTAGGCTCGGTCTCCAGTACAAAACAAAAAGCGAAAAGGCAGAGATCAAGTGCCGCTTCTGGAAGCCAGAACCTGGCATGGTTGCGGGAAGCAGTCTC